CCCAGCAGCTGATTCCCAGCCCTGTGCCCCAACTGGCAGATCAGCAGTTTGCTCCTAGTCAGCTGGCTACATGTGTGGTACTGTACAATAAGTCTAATACCTGTATCTACAGGTAGTAGCCAGCCAGCCATATAGTAGACTAATTTACTGTGTAATAAATGCTGTGCACATGTAAATAATGACATTTTACTTTGCAGTAGATTAGTCTACTATGCAATGAAACATCTCATGTAGATGCGCCCACTGTGTGGCTCTGGATGTTTCTTAACCAGTCTTTAGAACAAACAGCAGTTTTGTTGCAGAACTTTTAGATGAGTGTGTGCATAACAGTGAGTAAGAACAATTTCATTTGAATTCAACCAATATCAAGAAAATGTATGTATATTTGTCATGTTTTTTTTCCTATCTATTAGCATACAAATTTATAATGATTATAAGCTGTCCAAGTTCTTGTCCATACCATGGTGACAGTGGACCTGGTACTGAGAGATTCAAGCATGCCCACACCTATATCCAGCCAAACCCACAGATATGCTCCAATTAGCCTGCTCTAGATGTCTCCCTCCATACCTATTCTTGAAACCTCTATTTCTGGCATGCCTGAAAGTAGTAACTGGGCATGAGTGTAGAGTGTTGTCAACAGCATATTTCTGGGCTTAAAGCCAATCAAGACAAAACAAAAAATGACATTTTCCCTTCAATCAGGGCTCCATGCTCTATGCAATTTCAGGACAGCCCTGCATACAGTACCACAGAATTAATTTTTTTTCTTCTCAGAACTCTGTACATTAGGAATGTAACATTTTGACTTCTGTTTATCATGCTCTTTTACCACAAGGGTAGTAACTTTTCTTTCACTATGGAGTGGAGGCAGTATGGAATAAGATCTGAAATCTAGTTTACAGTGAAAAAGTAAGATGAAACACAGCAACCTAGGTGCCAGGAGATAAACCACTGAATCCAGCTATAAGCTCCACCTGGAATACATGAAGCAAAAGGTCAGGTTTTGAGCAAGCATTTTTACATTTAATCATAGTCTCTTTAGTAGTTGAGGATTTGATTACATACAATGAGAAAGCTCTTTTAAGAGTTAAAAAAATAAATAAGAAAATGAGGTAATATAATTGCCTAACTTTCATGCTGGTGAAACTGTTGTAGAGTCGAAGAATTTAGGCATAGAACCAGACTACAAATATGAAGTGCTTTAAGAGCTGAAGATTAAAATGAAATGGAAATGTTTTTATTATAATGTATGCTACAAGATGATTGAGCACAGGCTTATATTCCCATGAACAAATCACAATTAAAGAGACTGAATAATGATTTGTATCAGGATAGTTTTGTTTTACGGAAATATTGTAGTCTACACGAACTTTTATTAAACATTGAAATCAATACAATGCATTTTAATATTTGGGAATTTTGCAGATTCAAGTTTATAGTTCCCATAACATTCAGAAATGCTTGCTCTTCTCACAGGTATACAGTTAGGTTTGTATAGAGTGGTAAGTTATACCTTAGGCCCTATTGAACCCTGTATAATATATACTTCTCTTACATTACTATCAGTATGTAAAATACAGATGTTATAAGGGCTGCTACATACTTCATAATGCAGCCAATTTATTTCTTAAAAGAATCATAACTGATTTTTCGTGACTTATGAGCATAAGGTTGCTTGGGTTTGATATGCTGTTCTGAAATAAGAATAAAAGTCACTGCACTTCATTAAGGACCAGGCCCCCCCAGTAGGAATCTCTCATATGAATAAAATTATGCCTGTAGTTAAGTATATGCAATATCAGGTCCAATGCTTGTGGGAACTTTAGAAGTTATCTGAGCTACTCAAAAGCAAAAGCATTTGAAAAGTTTGAAACACAAAATTCACCCTAAGTCTGATACTTTAAGCTTGTCTTTCCATGACCAGAAATAACCTCTCCTGGGCTGAGACCAGTATTCAACTGTAATCCAAAAAATTACTTCAACCACAACTAGCACATATACTGTTACTATTGTAATGCTATATAGTATTTAGTGTTAGGATAATCATTTAGTAGCAATTCTGAGCTGTCCTCTATGACAAACATTGTTAATAAGTAATAGATGCGACATGTACCTCTCAACAGCATCAGAAAAAAAAAAATTAGAAAAATAGAGGGCTAGTTCCTGACTAGCTGTTCAAAAAACAAGCTAAACTTTGAAGTCTAATGTATAAATAATGAAGAATACATTTCTTTCCTATTTATATTTTGTGCTAGCAACCTACAGTTATCATTGGCTGCATCTGAAACTACCATTTTAAATATTACTTGTTTCAAGTGTCCTGCTTTTTGTTTGACATCTCTAATTTTACATCCTTTTTACTTTCAACATGTATGCCATATATTCTTGTGAAAGCATAGATACTCAGAAGTGAATGTTTTTATATATTTGTATTCAGTTTGACAAATATTGGGATTTTACTAGCTGCCTCTGAGAGTACTAATATTGATTTTGACAGGGAAACTTTGTAATCTCTATAACTGTTTCACACCCCCTGCTGGTCAATCACCTCTCTGAGTACCACAGTTAGCTCTGAAAGGAATGTTTCAAAAAGCATCAGTCTAAAGCAAGTGTGTTTCAGTGGACCAAAAGTAGATGGGTGATATTAAGACAAAATAAAATATGGCCAAGATCTATGTTAGCAAAGTATTTTTAGGTACAAGAAGAATTAATGTTGTGGGGAAGGAGCCTCTAAATCAAGAACTTTAACTGCACTGCCCGGGAGACAAAAACATTATGTTTCATTATATAGATTAATATTCACTACTCAAATGACTTTTGATACCATCGGAAAGGGTTTTTTTGGCTTATGTTTTGGTAATCATTAATTAGTTTAGAGTATGTGAAGAACAGACCCACAACTGATAAAAGTCTCAGAAAAAAAAATGGCATTGTTTTCATGAATTAAATGGACAGATATTTATCCCACCTACAAGGTCTGTGTTCAGATAGAAATGTCTCAAGATTAAGAGGGAATTTATTTCAAGCCTATTTTAATACGTTTTTAAAAAATGATCTATTTTCTGTTCGTTATATTTAGCTCATGCAGATGTTTGATTTTTACCGTTACAAAAATAAGTACTTAAGGAAACCTCTCTCATAAGATTGAAAAAGTGTCATTTATATTGCTACATTTCACAGCAAGCTATGATTTAAATGAAAACATTATAGATTCATAAATATTCAAACTTAGAACACTCATTACATACAATATAGTTTACAAATAAGCTTTACTTTCTTACTAAAATGGTAAAACTTGAAATTATAGGACTTGCACACAAGCATATGATAAACATGCTACCAGTTTCAATGGCTGAGTAAAGGAGAACAGAACCAGCTACTTTTCATTAGAAGACAAAGCTATCAAAATAACTCTGAAATAATTCCTGCTTACAGAAAACTTGTTTTTCTGTTGGCATTACATTTGTTCATGTGCACAAAGCTTAATGCACAGTAGAGCAATTCTACTGTGCATTAGCATGTCACTACAAAAACCATGCTAATATGCTAACGTGGTAGAATTAGTCTACCACACATTAAGCGTCAAAAAAAGTGCACCGTTGCTACTGCACATTAGCGCTAGCTACTGTGCATTTATGTAGTACCTCATGTTAGGAGGTCCTAAACTTAATCAGTAGCAATGACACATTAATGAAGTTGTAGACACACCCAATTACTGGTTATAGTGAACTTGCTACCTACAAATTCAGATTTGGTCTCAAAAGTCTTTGTACCCAAGTTCCTAATCCTGCAAACACTTCCACATATAAATCACACTTGTGCCAACAGTCCTTGAAATTAACAAAGATATTTAACGAAAGTAAAGCTGTCATTACTTTGCATTGCAAGATTTGTTTTCAATTCACCACCAGTACTTGCATTACACTTGTATCATGTAATGCAAATACTGAGTGTATTAATTTAAACCTGCACTCATCTCTGTTAATTAAGGCCTTACCCTAATGAGGATTTGTCCCAACTACAGATACCAGTAGGAAACCCATAGCGTAAACAGGCAAAACAACTGCTCTTTGGTGAGCTCTTTGAATGAGTTGCACTGGAGGAAGTCACAACTTCTAATGGTTCTTCTTTTCACCTGTTTACACAGGTGCAGTTTATAGACATGGTTAGCTATGAATGGCTGTATTGAATGTTATCAAATCAGGAGTTCATTCTTAATTTTTTTCCTGCCATCCCTAAACAAGCTATGAGCCACCTCCTACATTCACCCATTGCAGTTACATCTCTCACAATGCCCAAAATGGCTCAAACCAGAGCTCAATTGGGCCCATCTAAAAGAGTGACAAGTACATTTCCCCATCTGCAATGTTTGACATTGGCCCCACTGGCTAGTCACTGAGAGTGACACCAAAGTCAAAGCTCAAGCCATGACAGGAATCCCTGTTTCAGGAATGTGTGCCATTTACACAAGAAAAAGAGAAGGGTAAGGGACCAGAAAGACCCCACTATGGCCAACATCTCTCCCCATAGCCCATGCTGACCCTCCCATGCCTTGCCTTTCCTCCCCACAATATTGCCCTGGCCCCCTCAGCCAAGATGCAGCCATCTGAGAAGAAATCATTGTCCAAACACTCTTTTTCTGTTCCACTGGGTTTACCCAGGGTCACTCTAGCATGAGTTAAAGAAGGGATCCAAGGAAAGCTGCCTTAACAGATCCTTAATTCTGGTAATGCTGCAGAAGCACAGCCCTACATATCCCTGAACTGCACAAACCACACAGTGCTAGCTGGGATGAAAAGGTCCCTATTTGATGGGAAGGATGGAGGAGACTGTGCCTGTTCATGCCCCTTCTCCTGCCCCCCTGCAACGCCAGCTTGTCGCTTGGCCTCCTTTGGGCTAACTGAACTTTGTCCTGGTGCAGGTAAACTGCATCCCCGACCAGAAAAGGCATGGGCAAGTCCCTAAGGAGGCCCCTAGAGGGAAGCCCCCATTCTTACCTGCTCGGGGGGTCTCCGGGAATCCCTTGATGGCCCCAATCTTCCGCAGCTGGAAAACTTTCAGAACATCCTGGCAGCTTCGCAGATGCTCGCCTCTTCCAGGCATTAACACAGCAAACAGGAGGATGCTCAAGAGCAGGCTCTTGCTTCCCATCTTCTAGCAGCCGCAGTCCCAGCCCCAGCCGCACCTCAGCGATCTGTCCCAAGTCTAGCCCAAAAGTGCTGTGCCCCAACTCCGCCCGTGCAGAGGACGAGGCTGTGATCTCGCTGGCAACAGCGCCTTTTGGCTCATGCAACAGCCAAGTTTGCCTCGGGGCCCTGCAGATGGAGTGGAGCAGAGCGGAGCAGAGCAGAAAGTCTGCGGAGGACGCGCCTTCTGTCTCAGGAAGCTGAGTGAGCCGGTGAAGCTTGGCCCTCCTTCCTGCAACTAAAAGCACCGCTATCCCTGCTCGTGCTCCTGCTCCTGCTCCCGCTCCCGCTCCTGACGACAAGCGGGTGCGAGCCCTTGCGCCTGGCACCGGAGCTATGCACGGCGCGCGCAACAGGCCCCGCCCCTCTCCGCCAGGCCCCGCCCCCGCCTGACCTCATCATCCTTAAGGAAACCTCCTTGCTGCGGTCAGGGGCATCTACCCCAGCAGCGGGGCAGCGCCCGCGGGCCAACCCCCACCCTCCACAGCAAGTTTTTTAGCTAAAGTTCAAAATCAAAACAGATTGTGTGTTGCCAGCGGCGCAGATCACTTTTAAAAGGCGCCTATCGGCCTAAAAAAAATCAAATCTTTACACGGACGTACGAACCCTCCCGGGTTTGTCTTTTTTTTAATTAATTGATACTTTAATATGTTCCTATTTGAAAGTGTTTCCCGTTTTGCTTTTTGAAAGACCTACGCAAACAAAGGAGAACTGCCTGACAGCACATGAAAATGATATCAGGCATGATGCTGTCCAGTGAACAAAGTAAATGGGAATGACCCAGTTTGTAATATTCTTGCACGATGTTTGAAACAGATCATGAACTGACAGGCAGTGCTACAATTACATGGATGGATTTGACTTTAAATACCAGTTTGCTTTTCCTATGAATGCTGAATTCTGATCATGTGGCTGGACAGTAAGATTGCCACAAAACCTCCATTTTCAGATGCTGAAATAATTTTGATTTAGTGAACACACAATTAAACCTAAATTGTTTTCTTCACATATCTTTATAGGAGAAACACACTTTTTATTCTCCACTACAGTCATCCAGTTCCTCAGCATACATCATGTCCTATTTTATCCTTAATAGCAAATTCCCTTCAAGGTCCAAACAGTTTTTGGTAGTTTTGTTTTTCTGTTTCCACTTCAGCTTTGTGCAAGGTGATTTCCCCCCCCCCTTTTCCCAAGTTTGTGTTTGATTTTAGTTGTTTCTACTACAGGAAAATATTATACAAGGGTCATTAAAACAGTATACTATTTAAGCCTTATCTTGTACAAGTTCAAAAATTCCAAAATAAAAAAAATGTAAGAGACTAATTGTTATTTAAAAGGAAAAACACTAGTTTTCATGTATTTTAATTTCACTCCATTTATTATTTTGTATGGCTATACTTCATAGAATTTAGAGCCACAAACCAGTCTCAGTGCTGTGCAGTATGCAAAGACAAATCAAAAGCAGTCCCTACCAAAAAGAGTTTAATAATGCTAATTTATGCAAGCATAAGAGACAAGAGATAAGAGAATGACAAGGAGAAATACATAGAAATGAAAGTAAAGATGACAAGACTGAGAAAAGAACAAGACAAATGATGGGTAAAGCTTTTCACAAACCAGCAGAATAAACTCCGCCAATTTTTGTTAATATCACAGCGAAATCTTCAGGCGGGATCAAGAGAACAATGTAGTAGTGTTGCAAATGTTTACAAGGAGAACCTCCAAAGTGTAAGGGGCGACATGGACCACTCCCCAGTCTATTCAGGTCATTCTGGACCCTAACCGTCCCCTCCAGAGTATCTGCAATTCCACCTATCTTGATGTCAACCTCAGTTTTGCTAACCCATGCACTTGATCCCATCATCCAAATTAGTAAAGATGTTGAAAAATACCAAACCCAGGACAGTCCCCTGGAGAACCCCACTTGATACCTCCTCCTAACTGGATATTAAGGCGCTGGGCACATCCACACATGCTTTTACATGTACCTAAACTTAATGTAAATTTGCCTAAGATGCATTAAGGTGATTTAGGTGCACATCTACACATGCACGTGCTAAGGCACATTGACACAGTGTGGGTGTGTAGAATGACTTGAGAATAAAGTTAGTCCCAAGTCAGTCAACACACACAGTATTAATATGCCTTAGCACAGCTTGTCCAACATGCGGCCTGCCAAGCCATTTTCCGAGGCCCGAGGTCCCTCGCTCGGGACAGGCAGGTGAGGGAAGGGAGCTGCTCACCCCCCATGGGACCGGGCTCGCAAAACCTCCCACATCACATGAAACAGGTCCCACCGCTGCCCTGAGGCCTGCGCAGCATGGGGCTGCCCCAGCCACACCTGACAGAATGAACTGGGGACAACACCCATTTTTACTTGTCTCCAGCTCGGCCCCTTGCTCCCAGCGTCCCGCCTGCCTCCCAGAATCCGCGGGGCTCCACGGCCAGGGGCAGGGTGGGAATGGGGCATGGCGCAGGGCAGCCCTGGGGGGGGGGCCTCAGCAAGCGGGGGCCTGGCATGACCTCTGTGGGGCAAGACAGAGGGAGTCGGTGTCTGCTGGACCCCAAGCTCTGGACTTGCAGCGCTGAGGCCACCGGGGCTGCATGCGCAGGTGGCCAGGCACTATGGTGAGCGGGGCTGCGCAGGTCGGTGGGCAAGGGGCGGCAGTGCAGCAGCCACTTTGCTCTGCCCCCCTCTCCCCCTTGGGGAGCACCGGCTTGTGGGGCTGTGCTCAAAGGGGGGGGGGGCAGGGGGAGATTGTTGCTCCCTGCAGCTGCGCTGGGTGCTGTTCTCCTGCTGCGGCTGCTGCCTGCACCCTCCTGGGGGCTGTTTGCCTTCTCCGCAGGGAAGCGCGGAGGAATGGAGTGGCCCGTGTTCCCCTGAGGCCTGCCCCTGCCAGAAGCTACCTTGGGCAAACCAGGTCTAAGACCCTGCCAGGCTGGGAACCGGCTTCGCTCCTGAAGTTCCACCATCAGCCTTCTCACGTGTTGGCTGGGCCCCAGCCACGCCTGCCTGGGCGCTGCCATGACTGAGCAGTGCTGTTTCTCGTGTGGACAAGGCCTGGGGAAGCAGTGGCATACGCAGCCCCTTGGCCTGTGTGAGAGCACTGGCTACATGGGTTTGGTCACATATTTTAACACGGCTGTCAAATACCTTCTGGGACTGCCTTCAAATGGTGGTTGTAGTAGGCAGAAAGGGGGCTCCAGCTGTTGGGATGACTGGTCCAGGATATCATTTGTTGCAGTTTCATAGTTTCATAGTTTCTAGGGTCGGAGGGACCTGAGCAGATCATCTAGTCCGACCCCCTGCCATGGCAGGAAAGAGTACTGGGGTCAAACGACCCCAGCAAGGTGTTCATCTAACCTCCTCTTAAAAAACCCCCAGGGTAGGAGCCTGCACCACTTCTCTTGGAAGTTGGTTCCAGACCCTAGCCACCTTGACCGTGAAGTAGTGCCTCCTAATATCTAACCTAAACCTACCCTCCGCCAGCTTGTGACCGTTATTCCTGGTCACTCCTGGCGGTGCTCGGGGGGAACAGTGACTCCCCCAATGCCTGCTGATCCCCCCTGACTAGTTTATAACAGGCCACAAGATCCCCCCTCAGTCTTCTCTTTTGGAGGCTGAACAGGTTCAGGTCCCGTAGCCTCTCCTCATAGGGCCTGCCCTGCTGTCCCCTGATCATATGAGTGGCCCTCCTCTGGACCCTCTCCATGCTGTCCACATCCCTCTTGAAGTGTGGTACCCAGAACTGGAC